CGTCGTCCCGAGGTGCTGTAGGGAGGGGGAGTCCCCCATTGATGATAGAGCAAGCTTCTTTGGTTATGCCATTAGAGTGCAAAGCCGCTGAACTACTACCGTCCTCTACTGAAATCGGCTCCTCCAAGACTCGGATAGGATAGATTCTACCTTTGCACTCCAAATTTAGACTGGTATTGATGGGGTTCATGACATTTGTAACTATCTTAACCCGGCCGCAACGGAAGGATTCGGGGGTGCAAACATCCCCATTGAGAAGAACTACCTCTCCCCAAAGTTGCCCAATCTTACGAAAAGTATTTGAGTTCCATAGGTTTAGGGGCACCCCATAGCAAGTGATCCAAACACACATTTCCTGTTGTATGTACATTCCGGTTCGCCACTCTGTGATATATTCACACCATTCAGAGAACCAAGCTTTAAGCAACATACTTTTACTTGCCAGTTCTTCCTTGGAGTTGAAGGAGATGATAACATCACGCCCTCCTCCGTCCCGAACTAAAATATCCTTCGCCTCTTTGTGCTTGAGTTCATTCCTTACCTGCATAGCAGAGTAGGGTGTTTTGAGCCTCATAATCATGCTTTCATAGAGCCATCCATTCCCGGTTTCCTCGACTTGAATGGTTGACACTGAGTGGTTGCTGGGTTCAACTCCCTTAGTGACCTCAGCAAATGATCTGCCATCAATGCGTTGTTTCCAGATCTGATTTGGTGCTACCAAACTGCCCTTCAAAGGTTCACAAGATCCTGGTGGTTGGATATTCTTTCGAAGACTAGGCACTCTGCCTTTATTATATTCCGCAACTTTCACTAATAAAGATTTGTCATCAACCCACAAACCATTGGCCTTCTGCTCAGCTACATCAGCTGCGATGGAACAATCGTAGCGCACGAACCCAAATCTAGTGTTAGTTGCTTTTCTTCTCTTTTGTGGAATGTAAACGTCCTTCACCACTCCAAACTTATTGAACAGATCATGGAGTTTCCTAGGCACCATTGATTCAGGCAAGTTATCCACAAATAGTGTATACAGAGAGGTTCTGTGGTCGGCAAACCGTGAGTTGGAGCGCAACTGCCTAGCTCTTTGTTTGATCACCGGTATCCAGCCTCCCCGAGCTCCGTGCTCTCTCTCCATTTTTAACCCAAACTCACTTGCTACTCCTTTCTCCCTTACCTTCACCTTTACCTTCACCTTCACTCTGACGATTAAGATAAAAATGCCTATCATATGGGTGCATCTTGTTAAGGTGCATATCATAGTAATAATATTAGTAACTTATGAAATATGAAAGTTTACCCTTTATTTTAATTATAAAAAATAAGAATAAAAAAAAATAGGATCAAATAAGGCTCAAAATAGTAAAAAATTACTCCAAAATAGTGTTTAAAAAAAAAAAATAGTAAAGCTCATACCACCAAATCGATTCGCATTCACACACCAACCCGCACGGCCCACTCAATTTGCATCTGTTAACTAAGCGGACAAATACATATTGATTTTTTCTAATTTGTCTAAGTTCGGACAGATGACGGTCACTCTACCCAACCCAATCCGTGAACACCCCTACCATATGCACCATTACCATAAAAATATGTAATTTTACCACAAAAATTCGTAATATTAACCATAAATGCATAACCTCATTGCAAATTGGCATAACAAACTGTCCAAAATTTTGTCGTTGATGTTGCAAAAATTTATGACTTGATATGAGATTTTTTGTTACGTTAATTTGTGATGAGATTATGCATTTTGTGGTTGGTATTATAAAATTTTATGATAAAATGACAAATTTTGTGATAGGGTACATATTGTATGTACCCTTGAAGGGTTGGGGTGAATACCATAGCATTTTTGAAAATATTATATATTTAGATAAATTTTCAATTAATAAATTACTCTCTAAATACGAAGATATTAGATTTTGAATAATTATATAAGTACCAATTAATATACTAACTAGTATACTAATAGATGATATGACATAATTTTAGAGATTTTAGATATTTATAATTTATATAATAGGTGGAGTCAATAATAATGACATAAAACTAATGGGTACACTAATGTGTAAATTAATTGATGCATGATAACATAAATCCCACTAATTAAATTGTATTTGACTCTATTTAACAACCAACTGGGCAACTCAGTTTGTCATTTTTGTACACTGCTAATAAGGATTAATAACTATTTTTCATTATGAATTTGTTTGTTGTATTATTCAATGTGTTTGGTTTGAGTTTTCTAGATTAAGATTTTTGAAAATTGAATTTTTTAGTTTTCGTGTTTTTTTGTTTTTAGTGAATATTTTTAAAATTTTAAACATTTTTTTTTTACTTTTTTAGATGTACTTTACTTAGATGTATCTAAAAAGTAAAAAAAAAATGTGAAAAAATATTTTTAAAAATTAAGAAATACATAAAAATATAAAAAATGTACTGAATTCTTGTATTTTTTTTTGTATTTATGGTATTTAGTGAATTTTTAAAAGATTTTTTTTATAATTTTTTTTACTTTTTAGGTGTATCTATGTTAGGTGTGTCTAAAAAGTAAAAAATTTCATAAAATATTAAAAAAATTCAGTAAAAACAAAAAAAAATACAGAAAATAAGAAAGTAAAATTTTCTGAAAACTGTTTTTAGAAAAATAGAACCAAACATAGTGATTATTTTTATTTTTATTTTTAATTATGAGATTTATTTATTTATTTATTTTTAGATAGCGTATGAGATTCTTTCTTTGATAGATTGATTGTTGTTTCCATTTTATTATGAAAGATTTTTTATTAGACTAACTGTTAAATTATGATTATTTTGACGTAATGTTTATTGTATTATAAATTAATTAATTTGTTATCCATTACAAAAACATTACTATATTAACATTATTCTATTGACATTGTAAGTGACGGTTACTATTAACATTGGCGGTGACAGCTGATTAAACTTTCTCATTTGATGTAGACTTTAACAATAGTCTCCATTTCACCACATCAACCTCCTATTATTTTTATTTTTAATTCAATTAAATTCTCTCTATTCCAAAGATTAAGGCCTCGTTTGATAAGTGAATTTTTTAGTTAAAAAATTAAAAAGTTACTAAAAAAAATTAAAAAATTAATAATTCATACCAAAAAGTTAAAATTTTCATTTTCTCTCTACTTTTTACATATCTTTTCGTAAAAAGTTAAAAAGTCATCCCAAACATACTAGTTTTTTTACATCATATTTTAACCAAAAAATTAAAAAATTATGAAAAAGTCTGTTCCCAACGAGGCCTAAATAAAAAAAGTTGGATTTATTTGAAATTCACATCTTAATTTGAGAAAATTTAAAAGGTTCGTAGAGTCCATCATGGTCTGATTTTAAATATCTAAACTATTTATGTTGTAAAACCCTCGATGCATATTATTTATAAAAAAACTAATTCGATCCAATAATTATAACATTTTCCTTTTATCGCATTTATTTTTTTAAAAAAATGAACGATAAATATATTTTTAAAAATAAATTATATATTTTTTTAGAATCAAACACAATAAAATAAAATAAAATTACTATTTTCTGATTGATCTAATTTTTTTTTTCATTAATTATATAAGTAGAGAGCCCTATAAAATGATCGATTAGAATAATCAAAATGAGACTCATTGCGGGCCTCACCAACCCTCGAAGCTCTCTCGTTAAAATGTGAATATGAAATAAATTTAACCCAAATAAAAAATGTTATTTCATAATCAAAAGCTCATAAAAATCAAATAAATTTTTATTTTGTAAATTTAAAAAAAAATATGATACTTATTATATTATCAATAACACAATTTTAAGAATGAGGCATTTGGGAAGTTGGGTTGATGACCTTTTTTGATTAAAATAATCAATAAAAATAAAATAATTTAAAAAAGTAAATAAGACAAAATATCACATCTAAATTATAATAATTTATTGTTAAATAAAATTATAATAATTTTATTTTTTCTCTTACAACTATCAAATTAATTATATATAAAAGAAAAAATCAATTATCATTCAAAAAATATATTTTAATCAAACTAAAATAATTTAAAAAAATTAAAAAACTAATTAAAATAACTAAATTCCCAACAAGCCTATATTATGGAATGAAAATCTTCATTTCACACTTGAATCCAAAAGAATCAAAATCGGCAAATAAATGGTTGTGTTTGGTATATCTTTCAAATTATAATTTCATCTCTACATTTCAATGTTATATTTGGTTTAAGTTTTCAAAATTTAATTCTAACGCCACTTTTGAAAACACTTTCCAATACATGTTTGGCAGAGTTTTTGATTTTTGAATTTGCGCTTTGGGTCGTCTCCTGAACATACCCCGAATGTTCGATCAGTTGCCTGGCCAGTTAATTAGAACAGTAACTTTTTTTTTTTAATTTTTTTTATTTTTTTGCAATTGTCAATCACCACCTGTTATTTGGGGAAAAAAATTTATATTTATTTTTGATATTTTTTAAATATAGAAATTATTTTATTTACACCAAAATGACAAATTATTTTTTTTAATTAAATTTTAAAAAGAGTTTGATTATAAATTTAGAATAAAATTTTTAATAAAGTTTTGAGTTATTTGCTTGGTCATGAGTTATAAGTTTTTGAATTAAATTTTGAAAACTCTTTTTAAAATTTATAACCAAATAATTTTTCTCATTTTATATATCACATCAAAAACTCAAAACTCAATTCAAAACTTATAACTAAATAAATTTTCTCTTTTTAAATTATAATTCACAAACTCACAAACTCAAAATATGAGTTACGTAAAGAATAATTCTATATGTATTAATCAATGTAAACACTAATATACTAACAGATAATGTGACATTATTTATATGGTATTGATTATTTATAATTTGTATAATAAATAAGGTCAATAATAATATCATAACACTAATTGATACACTAGTGCATATACTAATGGGTACATAGAATACCACCGACTCCGTTAATGAAAGGAAATGAAAAGAAAATCTTCATTTCACACTTAAATAAAAAAGAATCAAAATCGGCAAATAAATATCTCACCCCTCCTCGCTCTCCTCTCTCTCTCCCTCCCTCCCTCCCTCCCGCGAAACCAAACCATGGAAGATGCAGAAGCAGTGGTAGCTAACATGTGGGCTTTGATGGCGAGCTGGTCCACACCCACTGTTTTCTTCTGTGTCTTGAATCTCATTGTCGCCATTCTGTTCTTCACTTCAAAAAAACCCCTCAAAACTCATCACAACAATCAACACCCACCACCACCACAATCTGAGGAGGCTAATCAACAACAACACAACCACCAGTACCCACCACCCCAGCAATTAGTCCGAGCTCCATCTCTATTGCAACGACTCAGATCCTTCGAGTTCTCTCTCTACAGATCCGAAGAACACCCAGACCAATCACAGACCCACATCCAGACCCGCCAACCCGACCCACCTCAGGTGCAAGCTCCGATTCTCGATCGTCAAGTGACGAGAAGCAAGTCTGACAATTCCGGCGGTGGCGAGGCTCCTCGTCGTCCTCCGGTGGGGAAGATGAAGAAGTGGAAGAGCGAGAAAGTGAGGGTCGAGGAGGAGGAGGAGGAGGAGAGGGAAAGGGAAAGGGAAACGGCGTCGTATGGTGGTGGGGGGGAGGACGAAGAGGAAGGGGAAGGGGAAGGGGAAGGGGAAGGGGTAGATGCCCAAGCAGATGATTTCATCGACAGGTTCAAGAAACAGTTGAAGTTGCAGAGGGTTGATTCGATTCTGAGGTACACAGACATGTTGAAGAGAGGGTTAGGAAGGTCACAGGTCTAGTCTAGTCTAGGCTACATACAGTATAATGGAGATGAATGAATGATGATGGTCACTGTAGTATGTATTGTACTTGTCTCTTGCATGATTTGTTTGCCAATTATGCCCTTCTCCTTCTGGGCTGCTCTCTCCTTTTTTATTATACACGTTCGGGGTATTTAAGTCATTTTATTGTTAGGCATATAATATATTTTATTAATGGAGGTGACACGTGATGACAGTCACATGAATTTGTATTGTTTTTACGTGGTTGGCAACGGTAGTAGTAGTGTAGTGATGTAATGGTACGAAAAAATTTACCAAATTGGCAGAAACCGGAAATGTTGACGGAAAAGTTGAACAGTATTCGTATTTTAATATTTATTTATGGTGTTAAATTATTTTAAAATGATCGAAATATCTTTATCAAATTTATAAAAGAAAAATGATGCAGATCATTAATTAGTGGTTGTACTAAGAATGTGGTAGTGAATTTCACCTACTGCCATATGTATTTTGTGTCTTAGTTTTTGTTTTTTTTTTTTTACTTGTCAGATCATTAGTGATGACGTAAGTGATAGAAATTTAGTGATCTATAGCATTGGTGTTTATAAAATTCATATTTTTACCATGTGTATTTGAACACTTTTTTTTTAATGTAATATTAAAATTTATGGAGGGTAAATATATAATTTGACAGACTTGCGTTTTACCTCTTCCCAGATGATATTTGTTGCGTTTTACGAAGTATTGCGTTTTTCCCCCTAAAATAAAAACGCTGCTTTTTGTGAATGTTTCCAAAACGACCCTGAATATGATGATGATATCAGTAACATTTTGAAAATTTATTACTAAATTATCCTGTTATTTGGCTTGAATTTTGTTTCAGTTTGAGCGTCTTTATTTTTCGGTCTCACGTTACATCTTGAATAAATTCTTATAACGGTCATGTTTGTCATGTATGTACGAAGGTTGTAAACAAGTCGAATCCTATCAAATTTTGTTAATTTTGACTTCGATTCATTTGCTTATCGAGTTTATTTATTGAATTTGAACTCGGCTTAATAAGTAATTAAGCTTGAACTCGGTTCGGTTCATTAATATTAATGAAACTTAAACTCAAACTCAGTTCGGCTGGATAAGATTTTTTTAATATTATTTAAATTAAAAATAATATTATTATTTAATATATAAATAATGTATTTTTATTATTATTTATATATATTTATATATTATTTAGTATATAAATAATATATTCATTATATAATTTAAATAAAGATAAACGAGCTGAACTTGACGAGCCAAATTTATTTGAGCTTGAACTCGGTTCGTTTACTAAACGCGCCTAATATTCGAGTTCGAGTATAGCTCGTTTACTAGACGAGTAGAGCCGAGGCGAGCCGAGTTGAGCCCTTAACGAGTCGAGTCGAGCTGAGCCGTGCTTGTTCATGAACAGCTCAGTTCATTTGCAGCCCTCTCTATACGAGATGATTTTTGAATTATAAAGGAGGGTGGAGTTCTATGGAAGAACTATATATTATGGGAAGCAAGGTCTACACAATGTAGCAAATGGTGAGGATTGCCCGACTAGATTTGATTGGAAAACTCCTTTGCTGGTAAAGTTAGGAATTAGGAAAGAAGAAAATGATGCAAAGAGAATGTGTAAAGCTTGGAGTGGATTTCAGTTCCATTAGCCCCTTGTAAAGGAAGGCGAGGTTACCTTATATAGGAGGAGCATACTTGCTCCCTAAGTCCTTCATCTCTCTCCGTTACTATGGACACTGTATCTTTTTTAGGTATGAGGCACGTTTCCACACTCATGTTCTGCCACCTTGCTTTTCTACACCAGTAGAGTTGCCACTTAATTTTAGGAGAATTAAGAAACTTTTAACAATAAAAACTAAGTACAAGACATAATCCGTCACAACAAGAGAATTTTTAAGTTCGGGAACTAAGGTACAAAAGAGGAAGGCCATTGAATGATGCACCATCTTTTGCCTAATTTGAAGATTAGCCCCTACTAATATTTTATTTTATGAGTCTAATGATTAATTATTTTATACAAAATCCATAATTAACCCTAAAACCTTTACTAACCCTAAAATTAGGTGACTTGAATAAAATAAATATCATTTCCTGAAGTCTTAGGGCCAGTCAAGATGGAGTGACTACAACCACATATCTCTCGTCTTTTACCAGATCGCTCATCATTGGAGGAGGAGAATGAGTCTCCTTGACACTCGTGCGTAGGCTTGTCATGAGTGCATTTGACATTTAGACATGTTGGTCTATACCGTATGCACCGTGTTCCCCAAATGTAGGGTCGAGCTTTATAGCTCATCTGCTTCGGAGCAGGTCTGGCATTAGGCCGATCTCCATAGCACCTCTGCTTCGTAGCTCCGTAGCTTCTTCATTGGGCTAAGCTCCGTAGCTTCACTTTGTAGCAAGTCTTGGTCATTAGGTTGAGCTCTGAAGCTTGGTTTTGCCTTAGCTAGTTTTGACCCACTTCAATGTCATTTTATTTTCTATACTTTTAATCTACTTAATTTTGATTTTGAAATTTGAAGGTTGTTTTGATTTAGTTCAATAGATAACAATCGTTATGATTTTCTTTTGGAAAAATTCTATTTACACACTATCATTTGTCTTAGTACACACCATATACTCAGTTCACACCACACACAAATTGAATATATTTATTTTGTCTCAATATACACCACCAATTTTCATATAATACCATATTACCCTCATCTCCTCTAATAAACCATAACCCTAACCCTTGTCTACCATCTGTCGCCACTCTTTTCCCCTCCTTGTTTCAACACTCCTCCTTTCTCCGGTGCCTACTATCTAACCCTTCCATTCACCACCCCTCAACCCTGCTACCTTACTACCATCATAGCCTCTACCATCATTACTTTACTACTACCATTGCTTCACCATCATCACAGCCTTTCACCGCCACAACGCATAACCGCCGCAACCTCTACCTGTTGCGATCTTGTTGCTGCCTCCTAGTGCCATAGATCTCTCATTCTCTACGGTGGTGGCAGTAAGGGGGTGATGAGAGACATGATAGTGGTGGGTCATAGGGGATAGTGGTTCTGAGGTAGTGGAGGCAACAATGGGACTGGGAAGGTGGTAGCGGTGACAACCATAATAGGGCTAAGAATGAGGAAAGATGTTCACCGGAGGTTGGTGTTAATGGTGTCGGTGGTTGGTGTTGATGGTGGTGGTGGCTGGTGTGTATTAAGGAGATTTATGGTCTTGTCCTAAAAGGTAATTTCATTAAGGGCATAATGGTAATAAAAAGTATAAGATAGTGGTGTGTAAATAGAATTATCATTTTTTTTAAACAAAAAATAATTAAGTGCACAACATGCGACTAGTTTTCAAGGGTAAAATGAACATTTTATTCCTCTCCCTTTTCATCTCCATTATCTCTTTCTACAACATTATAATACCACCACCATGCATTTCCTCCAACACCACTACCCCACCTCATTACCTTTACCACCGCTATGCACCTCATCCACCCATTGCCATGAATAATACTAGAGATCTTAAAAATTTTATCAAAACCTCTACCAAATATCTCACATGAGTGTGGGACCCAAAATGGAACTCATATGGTGTAGGTCCCATACTCATGTAGGACATTTGGCAGAACTTTTGATGGAACTTTTGGGGTCTCTAGTATTACTCCATTGCCATTACCTAACAACAAACACCAAACATAATCAAACAAAAACTCCAATCAATCCCCCTCTACCTACCCATAGCCAGCATCTACAACCAAAACATAACCAACAAGACAACTAATCAATCCATGGCCACCAAACAGCACCACTCACAACATACAACCATCAAAATTAAATCAAATTAGAATGATCAAAATCAAAATTAAAAGAATAAGGAAAAATGATAAAGCATAATTGTGGGATCTCCAGGATGGAGAGTCCGAGTGCGCCCGACAGTTTGAGCCCTCAACGTGGTTCCATGAGTGTAATGTGAAATAAAATGAGAGTCAAAATCTGACAAATCTATAGAAAGTCCACTAATCACAAGAGATGCCAAAAATGGACTACATCACTAAACTCAGAGCCACCACCTAATCTTTTGGGGGAAAATTAGAAAACCTGTGACTTATGCCCAAAGGCCATGATCCGTAGTAACCAAAGTGTCTCGGCTCGAAAACTTAGATATGAGGGGGGAATGTCATGAATTGAGCACCCCCTCTGACCCAATCAATGATCAGCCTCTACTTATTCATGATATGGGAATCATTAATATGATATGGTCATATAACCCAATTATTATTGCTGACTTTACTATGTGGAGCAAACATATATAGACCAAATCATCTATTTTGGAATACTCTAATCTCTCGCTAATTTTTTTAGAAAAGAGGATTAGAAAGGCAGAAGTCTCAGAAAAAAATGAGACATCCTCTCCATGAAGAGATCAGAATCATTCCAACTTAGGCAATGAGATCTCCATAATATGAGCAATCATAGAGATGTAGCAAATGAGCACATAGCCTCATGGTAGCATGCTAGATATAATTATAAGCAATCACAAGTCGGGTGCAAAGATGAAAGAGGCTCACCTAGTACTCATCTGCACCATGCCAAGAGCGTAAAAGGTTAGAAAAAAATGCATGATCCTAGATGCCAAACTAAATGATATGCAAAGGAAATGATAGAAATGTTTGCCAAGTCAAGCGAAGACAAAAACCAGACTAAAATAGAAAATGCATGATCGTAGAGGCGATATCTATTGCAAAATTTGTACACAATAAATCCTAAGGTACTTTGGACACTGTCAAGATGACATGGATTTCAACAAAGGACACAACACATAATTTAATCTGAAAGTAATGGTCCAAGCCTAGGTGCATGCTCCTATGTTAATCATGGGATTATGATGAAAGTAAAAAAACAAGTCTAAACCATCAAAAAAATAAAAATAAAAATAAATGAGTAGAGAGTAGAGGTAAGGAGAAGAGAGACTCGTCCCAACGCACACAGCAATATAATGAATGGAAGCTAAGAAAATGGCGAGACGGAATTGAAGGAAACTCCAGCAAGGATAGGGAGGTTCTCAACCTCTTACGCATGGAAATGGGTATAAGTTACCAGAATCCATAAGAAACAGTGATGAGAGAGGAGATCCAACCTATTCTCGCAGAGGAAGCCATATTCGAGCTTCTACATCATCAGAACTAGCAAGAAAGGTAGAAAAGGGAAAAACTCTAATGAGAGGAGAGAGATTCTCATCTTCCTACTCATGAAAAAGACCGTAAACCACCCAAATCCATGTAAAATAGGTTTAGGAAGAGAGAATTAAACTCCCTCTTCTCATAG